TACATATATCTTATTGCTTTTCTACTTTTTAGGGAGCCCATTTCTTATGTCAGCACTATCAGGCACACGAATTTCCTTCAGGATTATCTTATTCTATATTACACATTTGCCGTGGCTCCATGTCAGGTGAAAGCTCTGTTTTTAGCGTGTCAGCTAAGGAAGCTGGTGTTCTTACTGTTTTGGAGTTCCTGGCATCCTTCATGAGGTTCTCTGCCACCTTCATGTCCTCTTGAACAGAGTTGGTCTCTGTGAACCTCAGAGAGTTCAGGTGGTCCTGCACCCTCACACACATCATGTCCATCATCTGCGATACAAAGAGGTCACAGGTTAGTCAGCTGTAATGCACTTACATTAACCATCTGAATCTCAAGCACCCTGGGCTTATTGTAAAGTCCTGCACCTCTATGAAAAACAGCACAACCATGGCTAGCAGAGGAGAGAACCCAAAAAATCTTCTGGCCAGTAAAACTAAGTTGTAATGCAATAAATATAAAAAACAAAATCCTCATTTCTTTGGTTGCAGCCGAGTCAGTCGTGGCTTTCCAGTACAAAGGAGGGAAGATTTTTTGTGTATTTTTTTTACAGAATTTGTAGCTAATAAATTTTTTTTTATGGGCAAATTCCAAAATGAGACGAGTGATTTTCATGAAATATGATTTAAAGCCCCGCGACCCTAGTGAGGATTAAGTGATGTATAGATAATGGATGGATGATTTCAAGCATAAATTTGGTTAATTTTCAAGATGAAACTGAAACTCAGACATGAGTAGTTCATGACCAGGAGAAAGTTGAAGATCTGATGATTCTTCCTGTTTTTATAGTTTCCGGCTCTGATGAATGGTGTAATCCGAGACAACATGCCTATGGGTGTTAGGGTTCAGAGGGTTTTAAACAAAGTGTATGTGTATGTGTGCCGCTGTGCCTGCCTGTTGAGTGGTGGTCGTGACTATTCCCTGCTGGAGCCTGTACGCCTGCTCCTGGAGGTATTTCCGAGTCTCGTGGTTCCTCAGCAGGTACTGCTCCATCTGCATGACANTTTGTTTACTGTGAGTTCATTTTTTACTGCAATATAAAGTCCTTCACCTCTATGGAAACAGAACAACTATGACTAGAAGGAGAAAGAAATCAAAAACGTCTTCTGTGCAATCTGACACTGTTACAATGCAAGAAATCATAATAAAGGAGAGTTAATTTCTTTGATTATTTCTTATTTCTCTTATTTGACTTTTTTCTTTCTTTCTTTTTTTTTTTTTTTTTTACAGAATCTAGTTCATGCAGTTTATTTCAGCTACATTTTTAAAACGAGACCTGTAGAATAAAGAGGCTTTGTTGGAATATTTATGCCAGAATTTGTTTAAGCTTACTGGAAAAAAAACCCCAAAGGTGACATAATTACTTCAAAGACTCTCAGAAAGTTAAAAATTCAACTATTCTATTTGTTCTGGCAGTGTTTTGCTTTGATAAGTAATGTAACTGTGGCAAAATAACATGTCTTTCAAACCCGCTGGTGGATTTTGGGGTTCAGAGGGTTAAAGAAACAAACAAACAAACAAAAAAAACTCCTAATGATCAAGCTAAGACCAGAAAAAACCTTGACATTTTCTGAACTCATTTCCAAAAACACTGCATTGATCTGTTTCATCAGCATCCCTGCTTGCATTCATTCTGCTCAGTGAGAACCAAGACTCAAGGACGTCACAGAAAACCTGGTTTGCTATGGAAGCACATGACGGATATGTGAACAAAGAATGTATTTATCACCTTGAAACCTCACATCAGCTGCAGTTACATTGACAAATACAAGACTTGTTGTCCTGGAAATACCAGTCATGGACTTTTCTGATAATTGTGAAATTACAACTGAAATAGATACAAAACTGAGCAACTCAACAAGCAGCTAAGAGAAGCTGGTAAACACACGGATGCAGCAGATCAGACCTGATCTTGTTGATGATGTCCACCCCGGACTGCTCCAGCAGCGTGGTGGTGACGAAGCTGCGGGGGATCGTCATCCTCCCCACACCAGCCTTCAGCAGCTCCTGACGAAGGCTGCTCCTCTTCATCACATGAGGACACAGGCCTTCGGCAGCGTCCACCATGGACACCAGCATCGTCTGAGGAACACCAGTTAGCTGAGTTTAAGTCACTGGCACTGAAGTCTCACAGCAGACCGCATGTTACTGTTCACCTCAATACCTGCAGCTGCTCGTCCATCACTCTGGCCACCTCTCCGGCCATCGACTCCAGTTTGTCCTGAATGGCTCCCACACATGCACCTCTGGAGCCCCCACTCCTCAGGTGGTACAGATTCGGGAGCAGCTGGAACACAAAGCAAAAAGCGGAAAAATATAGAGACTGAAAAAGAGAGCGAGGAGCAGCCGAAAGTCTCCAGCATGAGACGGGGGAAGAGATTTTTATATTAACTGTACTTTTTATATCTGAATCAGTATCAACTTTATTGGCCAAGTTTGTACATACAAACAAGGGATTTGACTCTGTAGAATCTTAGCGCTCTGTGTACAGTAATTGTAAAATAAAACTAAGTACTAAAGATAAGGTCAAAGTTGAGGAGTAAAGACATAAACTAGAAGAATAAAAATAAGAGCAAGGTTAGGGTTACGAACTGTACAAGTCCTCCCCTTTCTGCAGGAAGGACGTCTAAAAACATCAGACCCTTNGCCTCCACTTTTACGAAGACTGGAAATAGTGGCAGCATGAGAGAACAAATAACTGCTGCAGAGGGAGGATTGCTTCCGTGTCCACTATATCTGTATCAGTGACGTGCGGTGAGGTTCATGGCTGGTGAGGCACTGACTTCATCAGAATCTGATTTACAAATATATGCACTCTGCAGAGAAGCTTATTTGCTATTTGATTGGCAGCAGTTTACAGGTTATGTTTCATATCTGCATTCTTTACACATACAAGCTGTAGCCCACGAAACGCATGTTTCTTTTTTTTTTTTTTTTCAAGTTGTTGCGGTCTTACCTTTACCTTTAAATGAAGTCCATGCTCCGCTCCTTCTAGACAAAAATATCCGTTACTTTTTTGCAAAAGTCTGCTGATCTTCCTTCACTGCACTTCACTTGCTAACTGTATATCGTACCCAGTCTAGCTTGCTGTCACTTACTCTGCAGCCGCAAAGTCACAAGAAGCATGTCTGGGATCAGAGCGCCCCCTGCCATGAGGCAAGAGAACTGTCTGCCTCACCTGGAACCTCTTCTCAGCCGTTTATGATCGCTCAGCACACGAAACACGTTACACACATACAGTTGGTAACAAAAAATACTGCACATTATTATATACATCAGCTAAACTATGGAAAATCAGTTCATATATTAAATGTGTTTGAACCATGTTATTGGCAACAGACAGCAGTACGCTGTCACTGCAGGCAGCCAGTGTAGGTAGCAAGGGATTGCGCAATCCCTCACAGTGACAGCCTACGCATGGCAGCCAGCACAGTGAGGGATTGCGCAATACAAGGTGAGACTCAGCTCGCTGCTGCCTCACCAGCTTCTCTTCCAAGCATTTAAATGGGAAATTGCGAAAATTCAGCGATTTTGAATTTAAAAATCATCAAAATTGACGAGGATAAATGAAAAAATAAATACTTTATGGTACAAATCACTGGATAAATATAACCATTTAAATCATTTTATCATTATATATTTTTTTCTTTCCCTGATGTCAGGTGAGGCTCTGCCCCACCTGCCTCCCCTGACTGCACGTCACTGATTTGTACAAAACTGATGGTTGTTTGTTGCTTTTATGAGTAGATTTATGTTCAAAATCCTGCATATTACACCTTTATTATGCTGTTTCTTTTCTCCTGTCACATATTTGTTTACTGTGAGTTCATTTTTTACTGCAATATAAAGTCCTTCACCTCTATGGAAACAGAACAACTATGACTAGAAGGAGAAAGAAATCAAAA